CATAGCTCGATATTGTGGTAGCATACCGAATTAATGACTTGGAGTCCCTTTTGACCTGGTCGTGCTTGGAAATTCCTGCCAAGAGTTCATCCATTAGCTTTCGTTTGTCTGAAAATTCAATATCTAAGATTTTCCAAGCTTGGTCGATGGTTCTGCAGGTCTTTACTTGATCTGTCCACCACAAATGGCTTGGCAATGCCTTCCTGAAACGTTGCAATTGTTCATCTTCATCTTGTGCATACTTTTTCATCCAGTGATTAAACTCCTTCCTCCAGGTAGGGTACATTCTACGGCTGCCATCCCATGATGGAACTGGCAAACGTTCAAGTCCACTCTTACTAGGTTTTGATCCCGTGGACATAGTCTCCGTCATTTTTAGAACTGCGGATGTCATTGCCTTTAAGGTTTCTGTCTCTTCTTGAGGTTTCTTGGAGCTTACTTCTTTTTGGTAGGCAGCAAACTTTTTAGATATCTTCAAATATTCTTCCTTTACAGCGTCACCTATTCTTTTGTGAGCTTCCTTCAACGTTTCTTCTACACCCTCCTCTACATATTTGTCTGCGATGAATTCTTGCTGCTCCTTGATACTTCTGTATTTGGTTTCGAGTATTGTAAATATTTGTTCTAGCCTTTTTAATTGTGGCTGAATTTCAAACACCGTCTCAAACTCTTCAAACAATTCTTTTAAAGCATGTATAGCATTGTCTCGCTTCCCTAAGAGCGTTTTGAAGTTTATTTTAGGTGGCATCCTGAGCGATGGTTATTTATTTTTTTTTTATGATAGTCTATATCCGGTTTAGCAGTGTCGTGTCCGTATAAAAATGTTCTTTAGCAATGGCGCCCCGAACGCCCGCGTTTTTGCTCAAACTAACGTTAATTCGACGAACAAAATGCTCAGCAATAATAGAAGCTTTGATTTACCTTTCAGTGATATTTGTGATGAACGAATTATCTTCAAGGACGGTCTGTCGCTCGTTTTGGCTATCGGTTGTCCTTGAAACAATCGTTGAATGACTCGTATTATTATAAACTTTAAATATAAATAATCTCTTCCTCAGTCGAATGGCTTGTGATTCCTTCGGTCTGTAGAATTTTGACTGTTTCGCATCTACGCCAACCGGGGAGACGCTACTTTGTTTGAAGCAAATCACAATAAAATACCCAAATCTGTTTTCTCTTTCTGCACTAATACTTTATTTTGTAAATAGTCAACTATATAAATCAAGCAAAATTACAGCTATTACAACAACTCAGATATACTGACAATTGAAGGTTGCAGCAAGACTGACTTACAATTCGTGAGGCATAATCTGAGTATCCTTGCCTTTTCCTGAGTTATTATTTTTAAGTTTTTTGTTCACTGTATTTAACATAACAAGTTCGCTTTTTTAGTTTCTTTCTTTCCAATTCCGCGAAGCTTCCTCGCCGTTTCACTTCCTCCGTCCCACTCCCCTCTCAACACCGGCGATCGCAATATCTTAACAATGCTTATAACTTCTTGCTTTTGTATGTATAATTATAACACTGTCAGCCTGTGAAGCTGACATAGCAACAGGTCACGCTATGCAAGCTTTTAATATAATGATTTGCATTATTCAAATAGATACAGGTTTATTGGCGTGGCATGACCAGTTGCCATGGTAGCTAGCTTGGCACTGAATACTGTACAAAATCATTCTATATATAACGATAATACTTGAATGAATCATTTGACATGTAGAATTTAATAATAATTCCATATATAGAAATATTAAGTCAGTTTTGTTCCAATTATCGTTTTAATGCAATAATGACACCTTCAAGGCTACCCCTATCCATTGGATTGCAAAACAACTGAACAATCTGCTGATGCTTGATGGAGAGAGTTTCAGCCCGGGCTGAAATTTCGGCCAGGTTTGAGCTGCCCAGGCTGAAATTTCAGCCCGGGCTGAAAAAACAACCGTTTAAATGGCTTTATTTTGCATGTTTGTTTCATCTTTAAATACTTTACATATAACCACAGTCTCACACAAGTCAAATAGTCGACTAATCAGCATCTGATTGCTTCAAAGAAGCATAACAGGCTTATTGTCCTATTTCGTGACACTCAGATTATTTCACTCAGCCCGGTCTGACATTTCAGCCCAGGTTGACTATAAACATAGCTCTGACTAAACTCAGTCCGGGCTCAAACTGCTCATGTAATTGTGATGCAATTTCAGCTCATTTAACCGGGCTGAAACTCAGCCCGGGCTGAAAACTCTCCATGTAATCAGCCCCTAAGATTGTACTCAGTCAGAACTGCAAAACTATATAATACAATTGTGAGCATTATCAAAAAATATAGTATACTCTGTCTCTGAGTACTGTAGTGACAGCCAGGTGAATATATATAAATGTAGGCTGGTAGGATTATTTCATATTATGCTATTAAACAATGGACATATCTCAGAGATACATTTTTACAGACCGTCATACCTTTTACAAACGTCGGTTGACATGTTATTTACATGTATTAACTGCTGGTAAGTTAATATGTGCAGACAACAATCCACACTGGGTTGCTATCCAGGTTGCTATAGGACTATCTTTGTCAATGCCTCAATTGATATTGCCAAAATAACAATAACAATAATAAACTCTCTTTGTGATTATTTATCCCTTAGAAGCACGATGTTCCATCAAGCCTACGATCAAGCTCAATCAGATTTTTTACAAACTGATAAATATCGACGAAGTCCACTTGTTTACTATGAAGACTTGTATGCACCTAAAAATGTAATAATTTAAATACAGTTAATTCATTCGCTTCAAGTTTCAACGCGTATCGACCAATACACCATTAATATACAGAGGCCATTATGCGTACATGTAACGTGTTTACAAATTGTCATTAGAGAGGTTAAGATACCCCGGTTCCGGTTTACGGGTACGAGTATCGCCATTTTGTTTGTCAATTTTTGCTGATGTCAGCAATTTTATCCGTAATTTCTACCCGTTTCCCCGCGGTAAACCATGGTCTACACGTAAACGACAAACGGGTACGGGTGTTTTCTGTTTACTATTTTTGGGCCGTTTAAACAGTACAAATATTCAATATCTTACCCAAATAAATAATGCACATATACTGGTCAAATTTTTCAACAATTTATGGCGAACCTCAACAGCGAAAGTTGCCATTCTCTAATCGGTTTTCTCATGCCGGAGTATCTTGGATTTCTTAAGTTACAAGTTATTCTCCGATTTACGGGTACGGATACGTGTATATCACCCGTACCCGTAAACCGGAATCGGGGTATCTTAACCTCTCTATTGTCCATGGTGGTGTTCGCGAGGTTCAACCTGGATATTCGGAAAGTCGAATCGCGATCTGGAGTATGTTATTTTTTTAAATTTCTGTGACGTCAAAATACGTCATAAATCTGATCATCCGTACAAACATTCGTACATGCAAATAAAATCGAGTTGTCGCTCGGCTATACATAACTCGGTCAACCGGAAACGGACTGGTGCGAGAAAAACACATCGTCAAGAATAGGTGGCTGCCTACGGCAGCAATTATTGCGTGACGTCAGTCTACGACACACTCCCCCCATATATCTCTTTAGGAGATATATGTCTAACAGTAGACTGATCTATATGACTATTGTTTCTTTAACTTGCAATGTCAACTCAACTATATACGATTAAATGTTCCTTTAACGTTTCAATCATCAACGATCATCTGGTTGCGAAGCCTCGCTGCAACAGCTGCGTCTCTTTTCGGCCTGAACTCGGTGGCCTCTGCATTCAACTCGGTGGTCGTCTGTCTGGTTCCAATGTCACAACTTAACTCTAATGGATAAAGATGTTGCACTGGTCGTTCCATGAAACTTTTCCCCGCACGTAGCTTTACCGCTATTACGACACCATCTTTCCCTTCGAATAGTTCGTGTACAATTCCCAGCGGTCATTCTCCTCTATTTCTTTCATCTGATTTAATTATAACAACGTCTCCGACCAATAGGGTAAAAGGCTTCCCTTTAAGCATGATGTGTCGTTCGCGTAACCCTCGCACATATTCGTTTGCCCATCGTTTCCAAACAGCTTCTTTGCAACGTTTCAAGAATTTGGCTCGTTTCCGAAGATCTCTATCTTCTACATGGTGCGTTTCCATTTCCGGTAGGACATTAGATGATATGAACATGAGAGAGTTTGGTGGTAGAACTGGATTCTCCAGATCATCTTCAATGTAACTCAGAGGTCTGTTGTTGAGTGTGATTTCGATGTCCAACAACACGTCTGCTAACTTTGTATAGACAATTATTGACCAATCCTACCATTCGCTCGAATTGCCCACCCCACCAGGGGGCACGGCTAAGATTGAACTGCCATTTGATCTCCTGACCCGCCAGGAAATCTTGAAGTTTCTCGTCTGCCATCACCGTCTTGATCCAACGTGCTGCTCCCACGAACGTACGACCGTTATCGGAGAAGATTTTTTCGGGTCTCCCTCGTCTTGCAATTAATCGTTTCAAAGTTGGAAGGAACTCTCTTGTCTCCATGGTCGCTGTTAATTCCAGATAGAGAGCCCTGGTAAGACTGTAAGTGTACAGAACTATATACGCTTTCCCTTCCTTCCCCGACTTCTTACGGTATTTCAGTGGGCCAGCGTAGTCGACTCCAATGACTTGGAACGCGTGGTTTCCCTCCGTACGCTCTTTTGGTAACACTCCAGGTGGCGGTTTGACCATAGCAGTTGCTTGAAATCTGCGACAGCCACAACAGGCTTTGATTTGTCGTTTAGCCAAACTTCTCAATACCTCTTTCGAATCTGTCATTGTTCATCCAATACCTCTTTCGAATCTGTGTCATTGTTAATCCGACTCCCCCGTGGAGAGTGCGCAAGTGCGCTTCTTGTACTAATTTCTCCGTGAATGTGCTAGTGTTCGGTAAGTAAACTGGGTTTTCTCCTTGTATGCGACCACGATATAGAAGTACCTCTTGGTCATTTTCTCGTAGGTTAAGTTGTTCTCGATCTTTCTCAATGTCACTCTCTCGTTGGACTCGCTTGATCCACCACAGACGAGCGTTTTCAATCTCTTGAGTTGTCAGAGCACCCCGTTGACTCTCTTTGGTTCTGCAGTTGCTTGTGAATCTCAGGATCCAGGCACATACTCGTAGTGTACGATGAAGGTCGTGCTTTTCCAACAATTGATCAAATTCGTCAGCTACTCGCTGGGCTTGTGTTGCACAAAGAACCTCTCGAACCACTTTGGCTTCAACTTCAGTAGCTGTGGATGGTTGCGTTTCAAGGTTGTCTGGCCATTTCTCTGGATCGTCCAACCATTCTGGACCGTTCCACCACAAAGATTTATTGTCAATCCTTCTTTGGCCAATCTAGATTTGGCCGTTACTAATTGTTGTGTATTCCCAGATTTTTGTCGCACTACGGAGTATACCACTGCTCCGACACCCTTCGTCGAGGCATCACCAAAGGTGTGGAGTTCTACATTCAAAACTGGCTCTCGGTATTTCACTATTGGACGTGGTATGGTTTCTTCGTTTGGCAGCGACTTTTCCCATTCGTTCCAGCGACGGCTTAACGGTTCTTGAATATCAGCGTCCCATGGTACTTTAGTCTTGCACACGTCCCGAAAGATTATTTTTCCTTCCAATGTGATGGGTGACACCACATCCATGTCGGCACAAATTGCCTAAAAAGTCGTGAAAACTCGGAGCGCTGTGCGGAAGAGATTATTAAATTGGGCGAATCAGTAAAAAAATGCATACCAGAAACGGAGGTGGCAATCTCGAGCTTAATAACACGATCTGATGACGAGTTTCTAACACGCAAAGTCAGCGATGTTAATAAAGTCCTCAAACAAACCTGCATTCAGAAACATTGGAAATATATCGATCACACGAACATCACACCCGAGGATTTAAACCAAAGCAGAATCCATCTAAATAAAGTGGGAACAATCAAGATGGCACGCAATTTTACTGATTTTATTTATAATAGGAAACATTAGGACAACGCCGTGTGGGAGCCTGTAGCTAATACTGAAATACAGCCAAATATAGATGACCAATCGTCGATAACCTTGGGTGAGTCAAACGAATCAAATTACTCAAATATCTCATTATATAATTTAGAAAAAATACCATTTCATCGGGGCATGTCTATGGCATGTTTGAATATAAATAGTTTATTTGCCCATATAGATGAATTACGAGTATTTATGAGTAATAATAAAGTAGACATATTATGTATTAATGAGACCAAACTTGATTCATCAATTAATGACAATGAAATCCATATACCAAATTTTGAAATCATTTGAAGAGATCGGAGTACAAATGGTCGTCACGGCGGCGGCATTTGCATTTACATTAGAAGTAATATTAATTACAAAATACGACATAATCTACAATCTGAAACTCTCGAAAATCTAGTTGTAGAAATTAAGAAACCACGATCTAAGTCTATTCTAGTTAGTACATGGTATAGACCTCCAGATTTACCTACTAGTTACTTTGCCGAATTCGAGCAAATGATTGGATCGTTCGATGCTGAAAATTTAGAGTATTTTCTGCTTGGTGATTTAAATGTTGATTTTACCCCAACAACTGAGTCACCGAGCAAGAATAAAGTAAAAGAAATACTTGATATATACGATGTCGAACAATTAATAAACGAACCGACAAGAATTACTGCTACATCTAGCACCCTGATCGATTTATGCCTAACCAATACACCTGTAAATATTGTTAAATATTGTGAAGTCTGGTGTCATACACGTATCTATTAGTGACCATTCATTAATATATATGATACGTAAGGCTAACTATATACGAGGGGGGCCCAGAACGATAGATGCTAGAACAATGAAGAACTTCAACAGAGAATTGTTTCTAAGCGACCTTGAACTAAACCATTGGGATAGTGTCTATTGCTCCCAGGACCCTAACGAAATGTTTGATGTCTGGAAAAAAATGCTCATAAAAACCATAAATAAGCACGCACCACTT